TATATATATATATATATAAAGGTGTTAATTGCTAGGATGTTCATGATGATATAGTAAGAAATTAAAACTATAGTTTTTTTTTTTTTTTAATGAAGATCTAGTACATGTGCATATAAAAGAATGTTGTAATGGACATTAAAGTTTTTACTTGCAAACTATGACTTACGGAAAATTAACTCATTAATATTTTTCACTTCATATTGGCGCACGGAAAATTAACTCATTAATATTTTTCACTCATCTCTAAAATGTCATACAGTCAAAATATCCATTTAAAATAATCATGATACAAAATCATCATATAATTATAAAAAATACATGATTGGAAAAATAATATACTAACACAAAGACATACCCAAATACCTGAAATTTGCAACTATTATCTGCTCAACATGCTTATTTCTCTTTCTCTGACCTAAAATTAACACATGTAGAGAAGAGCAAGTATGAGCAAATCATAACTTTGTAAGCTACATAGAATCTACACAAATTTTTAATGATGAATAAATTAGTAAATAAACATATTACTCTATCATCAAATAAATAGTAAAATATATTATCTGTAAAGAAATTTTCAACTTAATGTAGCGCCACTAATTATAGTGTCTCTCACATAAGATGTTTAACTATTTTTCAGTTCAATGTCAACATAATAATTCAATCAAATAGTTGAAATAATGCATATTCACTTATAGTAAAAATAAACACATTATATAAATCTCTAGTGACACATTAAATAAGTCTTCTCCTAGGCTTTTATACCCTCCAACATTTTACAGATACAGAATCAAGCCTTATGACTCCCTATGTACGGCACATCAGTATGAGGCCATTTTGACTCCCAATCCATATCACAACAACATTAGACCCTTATGACTCCAAGCACATGCCACCATTCATTCATTCAATATAAGGCCCATGTACACCAACTTAAATGCACATAAGCATCAATAATCAACCACCAACATTTCCTTCTTTCACATAGTTTTAATCACACAAACACAAAAACATCAACACTTTTAATATGCATAAATATGATCTGACACGTCTCATAAATATACATAATAATATATTTAGGGCAGTGCTATCAATTTCAGGGTAAATTTATACACACTTCAATAGTTATCAATCGTAAAACTATTCACATATAAAATTCACAGTAGTATTTTTTATTGTATCATAATTATAAAGAGTAAGACAAGACATCTCTACCTTTAATATGGTGTTTCCATCCTTCCACCCCAACCATCGTTTGGTTGGTCAATAATCTTTATTTACACCCCAACTTTCAAACAATTAGTAAAAGTCTTTATCATACCATCATTATACTATGCAATTACTTTAGAAAATCATAACTTCAAGTTTACCAAGTGAAATTCAATAATATTACAGTCAAAATGCTCATGAATATCATATATATCATATACAAAAAAGTTATACGGTAAAAACTTAATAATCAAAAGAAAAAAATATATTTTTTCAATTTTTTTAAGATTAAAGTCATAGAAATGAAAACCATAAAAAATTTGAGTAAGAATATAGTGACTTACTTCAAATAGAAAAAAATTCATAACAAGAGCGTTAGATGAAACAGCCCTAGATAACTTCCTCTCTCTCTCTCTCTCCCTTATCTTCCCCTCATCTTTCCTTTCCTTCATACCCAAGCAAACTAGAGTGAGGGAGGGAGTGAGGTGATGGAAGATATTTAGATTAAATATATATAAAAACTTATTTCAGTGTCTAGCGTCGTAGCACTCATGACCCAATGCCGATGTGCTGGATGTTGGCTTCAAAGTTATTGTAGAACAAAGAGTAACTAGTCGTATCAATATTTTAGGGTGTTATTACTCCTCCATGGCCAGCACCGTTGTGCTTTCCTGATCAAAATTTTTATATATTTTAAATAAGTTCATTTTTAAATATTTGAGTTATTATAGCTGAGGATCTGTGTGCGAGGATGATGAAGGCCGAAAGAATGGGGGAAAGTGAGAGGATGGATTTGTATAGCATTTTTATTATCACAACCAAAAATACAAGAATGAGAGGGATGGGGAGAGCTCAATCTTATTGAGCTTAAGCTAAACTTGGTAAAATAAGATCTCTCTATCTCTCTTTGTTTGATCGAAGTAACATCATCTCTTGTTGTTGGGATTGAGGTTTTGAATGGTGTATATCCTCTTCTCCTTTTTCTTTTCTTCATATTCGTTTTTGTTTTGTACCACCTCCTCATATTTATAGGGTTCAAAGAGTTAAAGTAGAGTGCGTACGGGGTACAATAGCCATGTTGTCAGTCTTTGATGTAACTCAGGTAGCTATGTTGAGTGGTGTGGCGATCTTATGGGAGTAAATGTGGGTGAGATATTCCCATGGGCGTTTAGAGATCGCGTAGGTGTGAGGTGGGAAGCGGATTTGAGATTGCCTTGTTAGAGAGAGAGGGGGCGAGTGATGATTTGATGTTGATCTCTAAGCTCAGTGATGACATGGCCATGAGAGATTTCTTGTGGATGAGATGCGTATTTTTAGCTTGATTTTTTATAGGTCTCACATAAGAGATTTGTCTTTGACTAAGTTAAACAAGGATTTATCCAACTAAAATAGGAAACTTCTAAGGTCGCCTCCATTGGGGAGGGCAACTCTTGGAGAAAGTGAGCGGAGGATGTCCATTTGTGCTCTGGTGAGAAGCTCCTTCTAAGCTCCCGAGTGAACCCTTCAAACAAATTGTCCTGAAAGAGGAGGGAACCCTCCGTTTGCGTAGGTGTGGGTGCAAGTGCCTATAGCATGATAGTGATGGTGCACGATTGTAGAGCAAGGAGCCTATACGGGGGTGATTGGGCATACTAGCGAGGTCAGACGAAACTTGGGTCAAATTCGAGTTAGTGGGACCCGACCCATTTTTTCAAATGGGTCAAAATTTGTAACTCAAAACTGACCCATTTGTTAAAATGGTATACCCGAACCTTGATTTTTCATATCGGATTATGGTCGGGTTATCGGGTTGGGTTAGTAATTGACACCTCTAGAGGGAATCCTTCTTTGGTGCGATCTGAATGTGACATGTTAGATACATGCAAGAAGGTACTTGCACAAGCAGTCATGAGTGTACAAGTTAATTATTAATTAATTGTTTATTTAATAAACTAAATAATAATTTATATTTAAAACAATTAAATAAACATTTTAATTATAATTAACATCTTTCTCCTCTTTCGGCTCCTACCAAACGCTGCTCGAAAATGAAGCGAGGAAGTTGCTACGTGAGCTTGCTCGTAAAGGCAGCGACGAGTATTCTTTCTATTCATCTAAATCCCTTCAATCATCCATACAATATTAACCATCTACAATTTTCTTTCTATTATTTCTATTAGTAAATCCCGGATTTTGGTTGAATTGGAGGTAAAACAAGATTTATTAAACCTATAGAAATTATTTTGGCCTTTCGACCTTTGGCAGGATATACAATAAATCCTGTTTAAATCCAGTTAACAAACATACCTCTATCTTGAATGAAGAAATTAAAAGCTTTATTAAAGTCATGTGGTTAAGATGTGTGTCTTTAGCTTTGATATGTAATAAAAAAAATTATCTTGATCTACACAAATCTCGAGACAAAAATCAAGTTGGGAACTTCAAAAATTAAACTGGAGACCATTTGATCTCCGATTTTAGCAAACTTATAGCCGAACTGAACATCTGAGAAATTCAAACCCAAAGACACCAAATTTGACTCAATTCGAGCCAAAATGGGTCCAAATCGAAGACTCGAAGCATATTTGGAAGGGTAAGTAAAACCATAATTTGGATTATCAAATGGTTTCCAAACGTGACATGCTTATAGTCGAATCTAGCGTCTCGATTAGATGAATCCAACAAGCTCAAGATCGTCAAATTCTTACATCACTAAGGCATTCAAATGTCCAATAAACGGTCCGCAATCAAGGGATTCAACATCATCCGTCCATTCAAACCACTACCAAATTACTCTTGATACCCCTCCTATTTACTAGTCATGCTGCTATAAAAAAACTATAAATAGACTCATCATTTCTCATATATAGGGATCCCGAAAGGGGGAAAGGAATGAGGCTCAAGCAAAGAACCAAGGAAGAGAAGAAAGAAGAGAAATTTGAGTTCTCTTGCCACCATACTCCTCGACCACAGACAGACTTCCACCTGGAAGCCGACTGATGCCGAACTTCCGCCTTTCGATGGACTTTTGCTAGTCGCCAGACTTTCGTCGGACTTCTTCCAGACACCGAACATCCACTGGTCGCCTGATTTATGCCCGTCGTCGGACTTCTATCTGTCATTGGATTTCTACCTGACACCAGACTTTTTCCCATCGCTAGATTTCTACATGATGCCAGTCTTCTACTTATCGACTGACTTCTGCCAGTCATCAGACTTCTACCAGATGCTGAACTTCTACTCGACGCAGGACTTTCGCCCGTCGTCGGACTTTTGCCCGTCGTCAAACTTTCCTTAGACTTCTACCTGACACCGACTTTTCACCCGGTCACCAACTAATGCTGGACTTCCACCCAACAAAGGTCTTTTCGACCTCTGTTGCCCGCTGACCACCGTTATTTTGACCTCCTTCTCAGACTATTGTCCTTTAGACCTCTGTCGTCAGATAATAGTCTTTTTTACCTTTGGTCTTGTCGACTAAATAAACATGTCAATTTGGATTCTTCCAATTTCCACCATGTAATGTACTTAGTATGATGTATATTTGCTACATCAAATCAAGACCTTCCCTCCAAGAAAGAACCTCATTTGTAATTGATTTCAAGCAATAGTGGATTCATTCAACTTGAGTCTGGACTCGTGGTTTTTACCTTTTTTCAGGGGTTTTCACGTAAAAATCTTGGTGTCTCTTATAAATGTTGCACTCTCTCTCTCATCTGATTGTGTGTTGGATCTTCGTACAAAGCTAAAACGTTTAAATATATACTTCACCACAGCCATGAATATTATAGGATTCAATAAGCTTGACTTTCGATAGGTCTCGCATAAGAGATTTAAATTTGACCGATGAACAAGGATTCGTTCAACTAATATAGGAACTTTTGAGGTTGCTCACATAAGAGAGGGCGACTACTTGGAAGAAGTGAGCAGAGGAGGTCCGCTATGCTCCAGTGATAAGCTCATTCCGATCTCCCGAGTGAGTCCTTTTAAGTACTATAAAATTATTTTTATTTACTAAGTATACTATTAATCCCCAAAATTTCCAAAAGAAAGTATACTATTAAGTATTTAATTAATTATTTAAGTATTCTATTACTTATAATTAATTATTAATTCACATACATCTCGTAAATTACAATATTAATTATTTATTTACTTCTATTTAATTATTTAATTATTATTTTACATAACTAATTATTTGATTATTAATTGTAATGATAATTTTTAAGTAATTGTTTAAGTATTCTTAAATATAAATTTAATTTTTAATTATATCATTAATTATCTAGTTAATTTTAATATTTTATATTATAGTAGTTAAGATAAATTAAATTAATTTCTAATTTAAATGATAGGATTTGCTTTAAAATTTCTCAATTTCTTCGTTGCTTTCCTTCTCCCCGCGGCCAATCTTTTCGTTGCTGCTTCGCTTCGCGTGAAGTAGCGTTTCGTTGCTGTTACTTCTCCTCGCGGCCATTTCTTCGTCGCTTCTTCGCCTCGTTCGACGCCGTCGGATTGGAAGTCTCGCTGCGAAGGTAACATCTTTCTCCACAATAAGGCCGCCGGCAATCCCTTAAATCGGCCGAACGACGGGATTTAGTAAATCCCGGATTTCGTAAATTCGATAAACCCGGCTTAAATCCTGCTTAAATCCCGCTACCAAACAGCCCCTTAGGTTGGAGTCCATAGTTGCTTATGAAGAAATTAATAGCGTTAGGATGGATTTCTTAGTTGAAGCAAAGTTTTAGCAGTCAAGATGTTTTAAGCCAAAGTCGATCTTGTGTTACGGATATCCTTACGTCTATGTTTTTATATCTTGATTGAAAACTCAGTCTTGCCATGTGCGTAAAATCTTGCGACATTCTTTATTTTTTCCCCTGATTTGTTGAGCATGTTATAGTTCGTGTTTGATTACTTTGGTTTATGAACCCTCTATAAATTTCTACCAGATGTTCTAATCATATGCCTATAGATATGTATTTCTTGTAATGGGTTTTGGCATTTCTTTTTTCCATTCATATATTCTAATGCTACCATAATCCACCATATCAAAGCGTGGTTAACCATTGGGTTTTCTACTTCACAATCATTCTTTGGGCATCTACATGGATGGAGAGATATACATAAATTGAAGAGATGTTAAGATTTATTGGTATCAACTCATGCTCAATACTTTTAGAGGGCAGTTAACCATAAATTGAAGATATGTTACTATTTATTGATATCAACTAATGCTAAATACTTATAATTCTCTCCATTAAAATTGGAAACTCATTAATGTTAACCACTGGGTTTTCTACTTTCTAATCATTCTTTGGGCATCTGCATGGATGGCGAGATGTACATTAATTGAAGAGATTTTAAGATTTATTGATATCAACTCATGCTCAATACTTTCAGAGGGCAGTTAACCATAAATTGAAGAGATGTTACGCTTTATTGATATCAACTCATGCTAAATACTTCTAACTCTCTCCATTAAAATTGAAAACTCATTAACTTTAACCACAGGGTTTTCTACTTTCCAATCATTCTTTGGGCATCTATATGGATGGAAAGATATACATTAATTGAAGTGATGTTAAGATTTATTGATATCAACTCATGCTGAATACTTTCAGAGGGCAATTAACCCTAAATTTAAGAGAAGTTATGATTTATTGATATCAACTCATGCTCAATACTTCTAGCTCTCTCCATTATAATTGAAAAATCATTAATGTTAAAAGAAGCTAAAGAACATCTTAATTGATTTCACAGATCACTTAGAAATCTATAGTACTTTTATTAATCTCTATCTCATATTGCTTATTTGTCTTTGATTTTGAATCAAGTTAAAGAATTTCTCTTGCATTATTAGTCTAGCTATTGGTGGAACAAACTAGTCCTTAATCACTTTTGTAAAGTCTTCCCATTCATTCATTGTAACATGCATCATTTCAAACTTTTCACACTGTTGTGCTTACCACCACTTTGAGCTTCCCCTTTTAACACCAAGTTATCGATATCACTGCCTTATTATTAGGACGAAATATACCATTGATTTTTTTTTTCTATTTTCATCAACCAATCCAAAACCATTGTTGGATAATATGCTCCTTTATTGCTAGCAGTTTCAATTGAAATTTCCTTCAAGTGTTGGCCCACCTCATTGCCAAACTCATTGCCAAACTCAAATCTTGGTCCACTATTTGAGATGTCTTTTTAACCAAAGTCATTCTATCAACTTCCTTAGAAATCAAGTTCATGATATAATGTAATTCTTTAGGTGAAGTCTCCTCAATTGCTCTATTTTCAACTCTTCCTCTTTTCTGTGGCTTATCTTAAACATGTAAATCAATTTCTGTTGTTTGCTTGAAAGTTTGACTAATTATCCTTCCTAGTATCTCTTCAGACATTATTATCTGTGAATACACAAATTATTAATCCTTTACAAAATATTTATATGAGGATCATGTTATGTACGGGTTGCCTTTGAACTTAGCTAGATCGACTAACCTCAGGTTAGATTAACCTATGACTCTGTAGTGATAATATCTAACTTCAATCGCATTTTTAACTTTATTTCTAAATTCAGTCATGCTTCCATATAACTTCAAACCAAAGCTCTGATACAAGTTTGTCATGCCGCACACCTTTCAATAAAGTATGAAGCATAATAGAGCCTGACAACTCAAGAAGTCACATTTCCCTCTAATACCCATCTTATCTTTTATCAAACAAAATCTTGTGGGTAGAAAAACCTATCTTCCTGGATTGCCCTAAATTGCAATTCATGATCATCGACTAAATCCAATACAGCCATCAATATGGAAGTATGAATGGTAAAACTTTATCTAGAGCAAACAACTGAGCCTCTAATCAAGATCACATATATTCAAACACGTGATAGTTATCTTAAATATATGTCATAAACATGCTTCTCCTTTGATACATCAATACTATACAAAAAAATCACTTGATGGAAAGACAAAATCCGATCACCTCACTTAGGGCCCAACTTTGTCTTTTCCTTTAGTGGAAATAATAACTAAAGTAATATCTAGTGAGCTATAAAGCTTAATGGGATAGACAAGTGTAATACAGAGTTTAGAAAATAAGAGAGAAAATAATATGCCATGCTGGTCATTTGAGCTTACATGGGCATCAAAATCCATAGCATGACTAGAAACACCTACTCTAGGCATGTTCTGATAATTGATTGAGCAAAGGACGCAATCATGAGAAGTAAACATGAAAGTATGCAATAAATGAAACTATAATGGAATCCAATATCGATCATTCAATATCCTATGCCAGTGAAATACTAGTGTCAACATTTTTGTTTTATTTTTATGTTATGTTCTCATTCATACTTTTTATTAGTCGTAGAAGTGCTATACTATTATGTAACGATTTCTTAGATTTTAGCACATATATAAGGCGGTGGCCTATATCAGAATCATTTATACATCATAAGGTCATCACTAGTCTGCTAGCATCATACAGTGCAAAATAGCATGTGACATAAAACATGGTGTAGTGTGACACATTGTCGAAGCTATTTGCTTGGTGCGGTGCAGGGCATGAAAATGACACTTTGATGCAAGCAAAAAGTAAGCAAAAAAATTAGGAGGCCCCTAATTTTTTTGTTAGAGAAACAATACCTTACTAGGATAAAGAAAATTACACAAAATAGACAAAATAAGAAATAACACAGCTTTTTATAAAAAAAAACTCCTACAAATCTTGACACTTATAAAACTTGACACAAACACAAATTAAAAACACCTAAAGTTGCATTCCATTCGTTGCTTTGAGAAAGATACATGTGGAAGGGAACTTGCGGAGAGACGAAAGAGATTAGAAGACTAGTCGAAGTAGGGGAGTAACTCGCAAGTTATCCCAAGCTAGAGAAGAAGAAGAACTGGACAAAGCTCTCAAGCTTTTCCAAAAAACCCTCAGGTTTTATCTCCAAAAATCATAATTTTCATCATCCTCAACCATCCAAAAACATCTTCTATATATAGGCAAAAGAGGGAAACCAAACAGCCATAACACCTCCAAATAAGCCAATTAGATTTAGGGAAAAGAAAGGTCAACAACCACTTCAACAATTCCCAAACGGCACAGCAAAACAGAGAAGCGAGTTCACGGGAACCAAGCAGAGAACCGCGGAACCGAGCAGCCCAGCACGGAACCAAGTAGCCAGCCGCAGAAACCAAGCAGCAGCCATGGGAACCAAAGGGATAAAGCCACAGGACAATCAACCAACACAGGAAAACGAGAAGACAAAGGGGAGGAGAAGTGGGGGAAATCAAAGAGACACACGAAGAAACCAAAGCGACAAAGGAAAAAGGGGAATGAAGCTAATAATTCTTCAATAAATGAACCAAAAAACAGCTCATAATGAGCTAGATTTTAGCTCAAAATATTAATGAGCTAGCAAGCCCAAGAGAAGTCAAAACCAAAATTTAGGATTTGATTTGACCTCCCTTGCCTACATCCTCCCCTACTTGAAAAAATTATCTCCCGATGAGTTGTCTTTTGATTTGATCCGAGGAGACGGTGGGAGTGCATCTAACTCTTGAATCTTAGCCTCGGATTTCTTCAGGATTTCTTCTTTTTCTTTCTCGAATTTCTCATCACATAAGAACATGTGATATTGAATTTTGTGCAACTCATTTTGTAGCGGATCAGTTGAACTTTCTTCCGTTGGAACCCATCTATCCATTGGAATTTGGACTTCACGATCTTCTGGATGATTTTCTTCCACCACCGGATTATTTGGCTGATTTTGATTTTCCATTTTTCTAAAAAACTCAACAAAACAAGATTCACACAACTGCTATGACTTACCCATATTTTACTCGATAGACCGGGATAAGAACTTGTTTTGATACCAATTTGATGCAAGCAAAAAGTAAGCAAAAAAATTAGGAGGCCCCTAATTTTTTTGCTAGAAAAACAATACCTTACTAGGATAAAGAAAATTACACAAAATAGACAAAATAATAAATAACACAACTTTTTATAATAAAAGACTCCTACAACTCTTGACACTTATAAACTTGACACAAAGACAAATTAAGAACACCTAAAGTTGCATTCCATTCGTTGCTTTGAGAAGAAAGATACATGTGGAAGGGAACTTGCGGAGAGACGAAAGAGATTAGAAAACTAGTTGAAGTAGGGGAGTAACTCGCAAGTTATCCCAAGCTAAAGAAGAAGAAGAACTGGACAAAGCTCTCAAGCTTTTCCAAAAAACCCTCTGGTTTTATCTCCAAAAATCATAATTTTCATCATCCTCAACCATCCAAAAACATCTTCTATATATAGGCAAAAGAGGGAAACCAAACAGCCATAACACATCCAAATAAGCCAATTAGATTTAGGGAAAAGAAAGGTCAACAGCCACTTCATCAATTCCCAAACGGCACATCAAAACAGAGAAGGGAGTTCACGAGAACCAAGTAGAAAACCCACGGAACCAAGCAGAGAACCGCAGAACCGAGCAGCCCAGTACGGAACCAAGCAGCCAGCCGCAGAAATCAAG